CGCTGTCCGCTGTCGCTTTCGAGCACCCAGGACGCGGGTGCCGCCACAACCGCCCGAAATCCCCCGCGCGCCGCACGGCGGGGAGGCACCGAGCCCCCGCGGCCCCGCGCAGCCGGGAGGGACAAAGGGGCACGGCTCAAGGTCACCGTGGCCGCCGGGCCGGGGCCCCTCTGCGAAGGGACAGTCCCCTGGCTCTGGCTTCGCTGCGCCGGCAGGCTCCGGCTGAGCTTGGGCTTTGCTTTCCCGCAGGGACAGGGCAGCGTGGCCCCGGCACGGCCACGGCCCAGGGTGCTTGAGGAGGCAGCTCTGCTCCCAGCTCTCGGCAGCACTGGTGCTGGCACTGAGTAATTCGGTGACTCGTGGCAAGACAGAGCCACAGCGGAGCAGGGCCGGAGGAGCACGTGCCTGGGACGAGTCTCGCTCCGGTTTTGCTCGTGGCTCTTGCAGTCGCAGGGCATGGAGTTCAGACGTGGCGCAGGACGGCTGCGCAGCGAGGAGCGTGGCCGCAGCCGGCAAGCGGCCGCTGCTCCGGGGCAGCCCCGTGCGGGCAGCCCTGCCTGTGCAGAGAGGGGAGGGTCCCTGCCCTAATGCCTCCCCTCCGCGCAGGCAAGATGGAGATGGCTGGGGTAGATGAGGGGAAACTGAGGCACAGGCAGAGGCTGGGCAGTGCCTGAGCGACCGACCAGCTCCTGCTGCCCTGGTGCTGGCTCCCCTCGGAGGCGGCAGCGGCGGGCCGGGGCCCCCCCCCCCAGCCCCAGGCCAGCCGCGGCAGCAGCGCGTTCGCTAGCGAGAGCCGAGCCGAGCGCAGCAGGGCTGTGAGCGGATGCGGCCGCCACCGCAGCGAGGCGCGGGGGAAGCGGCTCCGACCCGGCCACCCAATCGGCAGCGGCACCGGCCCGCGCTGGAAACGGGTTCCCCTTTCCAGAATTTGCGGGATCACACCGTAGCTGCGGGCTCCCGCGTGCCACACCTGTCCTGCCCCCATGGCGGGGGTCTGCCCACGTCCCCAGCGGGCCTTGGATCCGGCCCCGAGTCGGTCCCTCCGAGGGTCCCGGGGTGCGTGCGCTCCACCGGCCCCCGGGACAGCAGAAACGGCGTGATTGCCTGGCTGAGTGGCCTGTATGTGGCACTACCGCGGCGGCAGCGCGGCGAGCTCCTTCCCTGCCTTCGGCGCAGGCGAGGTCATGGCAAAGTTGTTGCCGGCGGAGCCCTGTCCGTCTGGGGGCTGGGGCCAGCTGCTGGTTGCCCTGGGATGAGGGGGGCTCAGTGCTGCAGGGGGGGCTCCAGGGCGGGGTGCCGGGGTGGCAGGGGTGTCGCGGGGCCCGGCCATAACATGCCGGTGGGGTGAAGCAGAGTTGAGCCGCTTGCAGCCCCACGTTGCCCTGGAGGACCCACAGCCCCTGGGGAAGGGGAGGAGTGCGGGGGCGGCCGGCAGCAGCCTGTTTGCCGAGGTTTCGAGGAGCGAGGCTCTGCCTGCCCATCCCATGGGAAGCTTCCCTGGAGCCCTGGGGACACACGGATCCCCCCTGCGCTTCAGGAACCCTGCTGGGCGAGGGGCCCCTCTGCTGCGCCGTGCAGACCCTGGTGCCACTCGTGTCCCGGTGCTGGCCTGGCAGCTGCCTGCTCCTGCCGTCACGGTGGCCGAGCTCTCTTGCTCCCCTCGCTCTCGTGCAGCGTGTCGTGTCCCCGGGTGCCCGGGTGGGGACGTGCCCTGTCCCCCATGGGGGACGCATCAGATGGCTCTCCCAGCGCCCTCCCAGGTCTGTTATCTGCGGGCGCTGGTATCCCGGTATCCGCTGCCTGCAGGGCCAGGCAGGGCTATCGGGTCCAACAGGCCCCTTCCCCCTCCAGCAGCAGGGCTCGGCCTCCCTATCTCATTAGCTTGAGATTAATGAGGCTCCTGCTCTGTCTTTAACTCCTTCCTGCTCGCCAGCTCCTGCCGGCAGCTCTGCTGACCCTCTTCTCCGCTTCTCCTGGCAGGTTTACGCC